ATTTTGAAATGGTGTAAAGAATACACCTTAAATATGAATTTTTCCCTTTCCCTAAAGTGAAAATTACATGTAGCCAGATTTATTATAGGGAAAATCTCATGAGTAATAATTTAAGTATCACACATTTCAAAATTAAGAAAATAAGTTTCAAATTTCAAAAATCAGATTTTTATTAAAATTTATTTATAATTTAATTAATTAATTAAATAACTATATTTAGGTCACAGATCTGTACAATTTGGTCACAAATTAACAATTTAGTTAGTCACTTATTTTATTTTTTTTATCACAAATAAGAAATTTTATGTTTCAAATTATTTTACGATCACAATTCAAAAATTTATAGATCACAATTTGTTCATCGGCCACCAAAAATTAATAAGTCATAGATTAATTTTTAGTCATAACTTATCAATTTATTGTTTACAACTTATTTTTCGGTCACAAATAAAAAATTTTATAGGTCACATATCATTCATTGGTCATAGAATCAAAATTTTTATTGAGTAATTTTTATTGGTCACAACTCATTTATTCATTGCAAATTGTTAGATTACTTGGTTGTAATTAATTGTTCGGTTACAACTTAATCAATTGGGTCACAGTCACAATTTTTAGATCACATGTTACAAATTCATCAAGTATTAGTCACAATGAACCAAATAAGCATCTAACCCCATTTCTTCCTTCCGACGACCGACACATCTACCATCACTATCACCATTATCCCCACCACAACAACGGAGCATTGCCGCTAACAAAGCCACCACCACCTCATGGCAACCTATCAACACCACAACACACCAGTTGATTCATCACCACAATAGAGAACCAGGGTTCACTCACTAAGGGATTCTTGTCTCACTCTCTGAGATGTTGTCGGATTACGGCTCCCCCTCTACTTTTTAGGTGCGACGAGGAAGCCTCATGCTCCACAACTTAGAGTGAGGAGCTCGGTCCCCTACCCAGGAGTTAAGAGCTTACTTGAAAGTTCTAAGAGCTCTATACCAAGTCTAGTGTTATAACTCTAGGAATCAATCAATACAAGCCTTATGCCCAAGGGGTTAAGAGCCCACCACTTCGCTACCTCTTGACTCACTCGAGTGAGGGAACTCCTACGCTCGTACGCCCTCCCAGGGCTCACTTTGCTACCTATCCAGTTCGCTGAGTTCCTTACAAGTTCTCTAATAAATCTTTCCTTTCTCGCCAACTCCTGCTTAGCTCTTCCGTGAGTGAAAGCAAAAAAAAAAAAGTCCATACAGGTATATCGAGTGGTAAATCAAACGGCGCCATCGAAGCCACCGCCATCATTGCCACAGCGGCCATTATCATTAACATCAGTTGCCACAGTGATCGCCACCACCATTAGTCACCACCACAATCGGTCGCCGCACCACCGTTACCATCAATCACTCCGGTAACCACCATCTCCACCACATAAATTAGGGATTAAACGACCACCGTAGCCATCACCTCACCACCACAGCCACCAAACAAAAATCAGATCCAAAGAATTGAATACCACATCACTGAATCGCCACCACCTACGTGTGCACCAATTACTATCATCGCACCCAAAGAATTGAATAGCACACCACTGAATCACCACCACCACCACTACACACACCAATTACCACCATTGCACAACACACATCCACCAAACTGCCAACCACGCTTCACTCAGAAATTCCCAAAAAAAAAAAAAAATGGGAGAAAGGGAGTGCCGCCTGCAGATCTGCTAGCACCACAGGCTGTTTGTCCGACGATGACAAGCGCCTGTGGTGTGGTATCGATAGGAGCAGCTTCATCACCGACAGCTTGAATTGATGAAAGGACAAAGAAAGAGAGAGGGACGAGCCGGCAAGATGTAAGGAGAGAGGAAAATGAAAATAAGTTAGGGTTAATTAAATTTGTATAATAGTATTTAATATTCAAAATATCTGATTTTTGAACATTGAAACCTTCACTATGATTTTAGAAAATCGATCGTAAAATCTAGATAAGGATGTAATTTCCACTTTATTAAATTATAACTTCAAAAATCAAGTTTAAAGTTTGTTTATGCAAAAATAGATGATAATCAAATTATAAAGTGCATCTGTGGCGGTAGTGGTGCATCTCTATTATGATGTTGGGCTGTGTTAGTTGTGGTGGCACTATTAGTCTGTTGGTGGTGGTTGTGGCGATGGTGATGGTATAGGTGGTGGAGCTAGCGATGGTCACAAGTGGTAGTGGTCACACATGGTGCGCACGGCACTCGCGATTTGGTGCTGGTGTTTGGTGATGTTGTGATTTGACAACGATGATGGTGTCAAAGTGTGGTGTGTAGTGGTGTTGTAGTGGTTTTGCATTGTTGTGGTGGTGGGTTTGTGTTGATGTGGTGGTGGATTTGCACAGTCTGGTGAAAGTGGTGGTGATGGTGGTTGTGGCAATGGTAGTGGTAGTTTTGATGGTGGTGCGATGGTCATGGGTTGATGGGATGGGATAGAGAGTATTTATGACTAATTATTTGATTGATTGTGACCAATAAATAATATGTGACCTAAAAAAAATGATTGTGACCCACAATTTTTTAAGTTATGATTAAAAAATTACTCGTGACCTATAAAAGTTTTGATTTTGTGACATATAATTTGTAACCAATTAATTCGATAAATTGTGATCAAATTATATAGATATGTGATCTTAATATATTTAGTTAATAAAATATTTTTAAATTAATTATCTCACAAATAAAATTGAATAATATCTGATTTTTGAAATCTTAAATCTTATTTCTTAATATTGAAATGAGTTATAGTTTAATCTCTTATATATGAATTTTTCCCTTTCCCAAATCTAATGCTTGTGAATCTTGTTGAACCTCAAAACCTATTAAGACATAAGAGCGGCTGCATAAGTGGGCTTCTGTTGGGTATGAGTCCAAGAAGTTGATATCGTTCCAAGGAAATTTATAGTTCAAAAAAAGGTAATTGGCACAAAATTTTCATATAATTTGTCTTCTTTGAGAAATTCGTCTTTATAGTTTCTATTTTGACATTTGGACCCTCGTATCAATCTTTCTTTACGTGAAACATCATTGCCGTCTATATCTATTGTTAAAGCCTTTTAAAATAATGAATTTATCCTCCTTATATAGACAAAAAAAACATTTTATACTGATTACCTAATAAGTGGGGTTGTTCTGCTAATAGATCTCCCCCTTTGGACATAGATCCTCGCCCACACTCAGAATGGTTACTGAACAAGGATTGGTGGGATAATATACACTAAAGCCATCTAATTCACTGGAAGGTTTGCCTTGTGTTGGGACCATAGACAAGTTTCGGTAATCTATTTCTAATTGGCAAGTGGATAATGGATTGCCCTTGGTCCCTAATTTCATTTGGGGCTTTCTTCTTGTTCGATTCGAGTTTAATAGCCTTGAGAAGATCGTTCATGACCTAGCTTATAATTGAGACAACACCCATATTTCCTCTTGACAAAAATTATTTATTGTACAAATTAAGTGCAGCAGTATGCATAATTTGAGGTGCCAAGTGTCCCAGTAGAGGTGGATTACAACTACCACTACTGCTACAGAAGCTAGAATTATTGATTTTCGTGAACCTTTTGTGTGATTTTGCTAGAGGCATGCTTCAAGGCAACATTTTTTACATCATTTTTTATTGTCTCCACACATCACACGAGTGCACCTCGAGATGAAAATAATCATGGGATCCACTTGTATGAGTGGACTGTCAAACTGAGCGGCATATTTCATTTTGCAAAGAGTTTCATTTTTTCTTCTAATTTTTATAGAAGAGTTTTTGAGGAAGTGATCACAATTTTTTTTTATTTTTTTAAAAAAAAAAACTCTTCTGATTAAACAAAGCATTTTAAAAAATTATTAAAATTTGTTTAAAATCAATTTTTTATTTTTAGAAACAACTTTGAATTTATAAAAATTCAATCAAACTATTGGGAATCTACTTAACATGCGTAGCGAAAAATTAAAATAGAGATTAACTATTGACATTCAGATAGTTATCCATGTGGAATCTCTCGGTAGGTCTCCAATGTTTTGTTCTATAACAAAATATCCACGTGTTCATTTAAGTGTCACCATACTTTAACTTGTGAGATCAGCTACTTACTTCACAAGTAAGAAATGTCACACGTGATGGTCTATCCGTAATAACGATATCCGTATCTCGTTATTACTTACGATCACGGACGATTTAAGATTCAATCATATGTAATTTGTATCTCACAATCACAACTCTTTGTGATTAACAAATTACGAAAATTTGAATCTACGAATTCTATTATTTAATTTAATTATTTATTAATTAATTAATAGATCTGCCATTAAATTGCATTAAT